CAGGAGGACAATGCAAGAGATTGGCCAGGGCTGATTCACCAAATACCTGCACCAAGGACTCTGCCACATCCCTATGATGTTAGGAGAGGTGAGGAAAATCACCCCAATTCATGCTGAGGGACATCCGTATCCACACGCACGTTCAGAGAGACGGGTCGTGAGAAGGACTACCAGTGCTACCAAGTGTAGACGGGCGCTTCGAAAAGAAGCTGCCACGTACTACGCGGGCACACCTTCAAGCAGCGCGAGGAAGAGGTTATACCGTCTTACCTCCGCGTGCGGTGGTGGTAGTGTTGGTAGGTCCCTCAAAGCGCCGAACCAAACTGTTGCCGGCCGCTTAAAGCGGTCCGCGCAACGATCAACTAAGGAGTACATCACTTACGTCACGCAGAAGCTTATTCAGCTTCTCGTGCGCAGTGGACGGTAATTAGTAAATTCAAGACTGATTGATATTTTATAGCATTTCACTAGATATAAACTTAACTACTGATTGATTGATATGTAATGATGGGTGCCATCTCTATAGATGCGCATCCCAACGTGCTAGCTTGTATATATGTAAGCTCGCTTAATGACGTAACTGACTGACGTCATTGGATGACGCCTAGTCCCAGCTGGGCGTCATTCCCATCAATGTGAATACACCTCGTGCATATCACATACGCAAGGGTGTGACACATGGTGTGTCTCACCCGAGGCGACAGGTCTTAAGTACTTACGTACCTTTTTCTAGGCCTGCCCATAAAATATCGCACACTTAACGGATAGGTGTAACTGTGGTGAAGTGCTTTCCTAAATTGTGAAGAACCTAGGGGCCAGTTGGAGTGAAGGGACAAGGGGCCGTGGACCAGGGAGAAGGGACCACACACCAGAAACTAGGGACCGGGGAGAAATGGAACCTCGGAGTGAAGCGACCGTTGGCGGAGAATGTGAAAGACAAACAAAGGAGAGGTCATTACCAAGGCAAGGTTTAACCAGTACCGAAGGGAGTCGACCATGGCTGCCTCTGGAAGGCCCGGTCCCTCACTGGTGGGTCCGGTTCCTCATTGGTTGACCGGTCCCTCGTTGGTCGACCCGGTTCCTCGTCGGTAGATCTGGGTCCCTCATTGGTCGACCCGGTCCCTCGTTCGTAGACCTGGGTCCCTCGTCGGTCTACCTCGGCCCCTCAGTGTTCAGCCACTCCTGACCAATTAACACAAGGATCAGACCAGTAGACGTAAGGAATCAGAGCTTCAAGCAAGGATAGAGTAAAGGATAGGACTATATTAAATACTACTCAATTTGCGATCTACTTGGCAAGTCTTTGTCGCGCTGTAAAGGAACTCTTGTCTGGCCACACGCCTGTTCCGGGGAAGGGATATATTTGCCCTTCCCGGTGAAGACAGGCGTGTGGATAGACTCAAGTGCGAGCTGAACCCCACGTGGCACGACTACGTCACCCAAGAAGAACTAGCTCTAAGTTACTCACTATTCCGGAAGGGATATATTTTGGCCCCCCGTCGAAGACAGTTGGGTAGCGAAGTTCAAGTGCGAATAGAGCTCCAGGATATATTTGGCCTGTGAGCTCGTTCGAGTAGCAACACCCCCCAACACCCGCTATCGGAAGCGGCCTCCCTTACCTAACGGTCCGGGAGAAAAGTAAAGGTCAGGTAGTTGATACCCCTGAAACAAGAAGGAAACGGCCAGGGACGACAAGCTCCCTGAAGAATTTGGATCGAAGGCCACTCTCGACAAGGTCGATCGAGTGGCCACCTACCGGCCCACCGAGTGAAGCATATCCACTCGATGCCCCCCAGATCTACCTCTTTCAAGGTAGACGTCTACATCCTCACCAAGTCTTCCGAAGAGTGCAACCCGCCAGCCGACGGGTACACAAGGTGAGAAATGGGTCCATACGCGGCATCGGGGTACCCCCTCCGACAGTCGGCAGTCCGGCACAGTGAGTGGTTTGGAGTCTCATCATACAATTTTGAGAGCCCACTCTACCACATAACGCTGAGCCCGTTACATAATAGCTTGCCCTATCACATACGTAGCTACATCTAAGCCTTTCAATCCCTCTACTCTGTAATAGACCTCCTATTCAAATCATTTTTACATGAATTACGCATGGTTCATTAATCCAATTCTTCTTCGTAAGGCTGATCCATGTATCAAATTCATGATAGATGATTCAATATACAATTTGCCAACTGAATATATATGTTTAAGAACAACTATTTAAGATAAACGAACTTGCTCCTAATATCACTTAAACAATGATGCCAGGAGCATGTTGGCCATTCCTGCACTCAGCGCCCCTTCAAGAAGAAATTATTCCCTTTAGAATAAGAGAATGGGTAGACTTCGTAGTCGATTTATTAGATCCAGTTAACTAAAATTAATGGCTTTTAGCAGTCCTTTTAGTAGATTTTTGGAACTAACAGGCTTTATGCTTTAAGGTCTACCTCTGACTAAAGAGCTGTTTCTACACCTATGGGGGGAACTTTTAGCTGACAAGCAATAAGCTTAAGGGCTCAGAGAAGTAACGCACAGAGTCCAAGAAGAAGCTAGCTAGGAGCTTAAAAAGAATCAACGCACGAATTGCACAAGAAAAGCAAGCCAACAACGGCTTTATCTCTACGACTCAACATGAAAACTAATTTTATTGATGCATTGAGATTATGTGAATAATCCTACTTTAAGTACCCTACTCTAGATTAATCACTATTATAGTAATAATAGTATGTCATTGTCTTTATCATGATATGATATGGAATGTTGTACAAAGTACTACTGTATTACTAATAAAACCTATACCGATAGCATAAGGTATTACTGATATGTAATAGTATGACTTAGATGTAATACCCCATTTCAAAAAGAATCGGTGTTGAGAATACATAATATACAATATTGAAACTTTAACCGTGATGTACTTTCGGTATGATGTTACAACCGTCGTGTAACCCCATTACACGCAAGGCGACAGGAGCTTATTATCCGCTCAATTGACTGAGGCATTTATGTGCTTTTGAATGATTTTTACAGGAAATAGATGCATAAATTCTTTGATATGGTTCTTAACGTGTCTACATACATCATTTGTTTTGTTGGTAGTCTAAAAGAGTGATCAAAAAGGCTCTAGTCAATACATTATATGAGTCATGAATCATGAATCTGATTCATCGCGTGATTTAGATTCATGATTCAAAATTCATATTTATAAATCAAAATTATTTTACATGATTCCGAATAGGAGGTCTACTCTGTATCATATCAGTACATCCTTGAAGTGATCCTGGCGCATGTTACGATCACCCAATTTTAAGCCGTAATCACACACTAGTATATACCGAAGCTATTTCAGGCGTTTTAACTTCAACAAGCACGACATGGGATCAAAGCGGCGCAGTATGTGCGGTCTGAGCCTCAGCTTGCAGACCTCACGACGAAGGCCGGTGACGCAGCCAAGCTCGCGTCACCGACGAATTAATGAGCCTCGGATATTCGCAAAGAAGGATAGAAAGACATAGGATGATGCCGCAGCTATAAAAAGTCGTGCTGAAAGGGGATTTGCACTTGGACACGAAAAGGTGCGGACGACAATATGGTTCTAGTATCTGGATAGAGTAGACAAGGTGTTAAGACTGCAACCGATTGAGTGGTCAGAAACTCACGGGGGTGCGAGGGTAGCTTTGGAGCACGCAAGTGAGCGCCTTTTTACCACAGCGGACTCAGAATAAGTGACTCTCGCCCTGTTACAACTTCATTTGAGACCAGAAGCTCATTTTACGATGGTTGTGGATCAGTGGTGGGTTGGTGTGGTGGTCGCTGGCGTTGTCATAGGCATCTCCGTCTTGGTAAGGCCGTCATCTTCCCCTTTCTTCTCTCTTTCTTATCTTGTTTATACCAATTGTTAGTGCAGTCGTTCATAGTGACAAAGCTCCGTGCCCCCGGCTTCAAAGTAAAGGGCAAACACGTGTTTATCACCGGCGGGAGCTCCGGCTTGGGACTGGCATTAGCCAAAAAGTATGCACGTCAGGGAGCCAAGGTGTCTATTGTAGCACGTGGCTTGGACAAGCTTGAAGAATCCAAAAAGGAGATTGAAGGCAGTTGCAAGAACACTGATGCTGACGTATTCATCCAATCATGCGACGTATCGGACTTTGCCAGCGTTCAGAAAGCGGTTGACGCTGCTAACGAGTTTCATGGTCGTGCTACGGATCATGTGGTGTGCTCTGCGGGTTTTGCTGCCCCTGGCTACTTTTTGGATCAGGATGTGAGTCTGTACAAGAAGAGTATGGACGTCAACTACTTTGGCACGTTGCACACCATCAAAGCGGCATTGCCGGCTATGGTGGAATGCTCAGAAGAAAGGGGACAAGATGGTCATATTGTGCTCGTGAGCTCTGGACTTGGACTCATCTCGTGGATTGGCTACGCTCAATACGCTGCTTCCAAGTATGCGCTGCGTGGACTGGCCGAATCATTGCGAAACGAGCTCAAGTTATATGGGATTCGTGTGAGCATCTTCTATCCGGGTAATATTGACACACCTGGATATGTGGAGGAAAACCGCACTAAACCTCCTGAGACGAAGACCATTGAGGGTGTGAGCGAACTCGTGCATCCGGACAAGGTCGCGCAGTCTCTGATCAATGGTGTGAGCGATGGTCAATTCAGCATCACGAACGATCCAATGATCTTCATCTTGCGTGTTCTGGCTAATGGTGTTGCGCCGCGCTACAACACAATGATGGAGACCATCATGCTGATACTGCTCATTCCTATTCAGGTGGGGTTCGGTTTCTTTATGGACTTTGTCGTGTGGCGGACCAAGCATGCCCGGGAGAACAAGCCCAAGAACGAGTGAGACACCAGAGGAGAGGAGAGAGAATGAGAGATTTCTGACAGAGAGATTTCTGACAGAACGCAATACTGACATTTTCATTTTGCTTCTACTGCCTACGCTAGCCTATTCTTGTTTTGTGAATGGTCTGTTACGAGTTGTGCTAAGCTTATCCCCTACGCTTGCTAAGACGCCAGGAATCAGGTGGGTTGAAGCGATCATACAGCGGCTCAATCTTCTCATTGCGCTTGCGCTTCGAGAGCTTTGTGGGATCTCCCTTTTTGAAAAAGGCCGGAGCCAATTCTACAAGCCACTTTGGTTCGATTGTCATGATGTTTCGCATATACTCCTTCGTCGTGAGCACAAGCTCATGATAGAGCACCCACTCAGGGCTCTTGTTGAACAGCGCACTCGATGGGTGAATATACACGGGCTGGCCCTCAATCATGGTGCGGTATCCTTCTTGTGGGTCTTTTTTTGCTGTGTTAGCAAAGTATCCAGCCACAATCGCACGCCGCACTTTGTTAAAATTCTTGCCACAGGAAACAACATCCATTTTGTATCGGTCTAAAATCGATAGCAACTGCTTGCGGACGTCTTGCGCACGGCGAATGGCTCGCGCTTGGATAAAGTTTTCGTAGCACCACGGGTTCGAGAATTTGGAGTTCGCCCAAGCCTCATATACTGCCAGCAAAGTCAAGTGATCGCCTTCGGGCTGGTGGAACTTCGCCTTCTTCTGGTCGGCCTGTGCCTGCTTCTCCTTTGGCCGGAAAAAGACTGACTCCACTGACATCATCGCTACGATTGTCAACACTTCCTCTGCGCAGCCAAGCACCACGGACGTTAGCAGCACCTTGGCGTTCTTCGGCTCCACCGGAAACTCGGCCATCTTCTTTCCTAGTCGCGTTAGCAACCCTTCGTCATCTAGAGCACCTAGGGCATACAAATTTTCCAGCGCCATGACAAGTGCATCTTGAGGAGGCGGATCCATGAAGTCAAAACTCATGAGGTCGTTAATACTCATTGCCTTCAATTGTAACACAACTGATCCAAGATTCGCACGCTGAATCTCAGGCACAGTTGTGGGCAGCATTTCGTTCTTGTAAGCATTCTCCGTGTACAGTCGATAGCATTTACCTGGGCCTGTGCGTCCAGCGCGTCCCGCACGTTGACGAGCCGAAGCCTGTGAACACGGCACAACCACCAGAGAATCCATTCCAATCTTTGAGTTGAAGGCATTCTGCTTGCAAAAGCCAGGATCCACGACATAATAAATGCCATCGATTGTCAGCGATGCTTCTGCAATATTGGTGGCCACGACACATTTACGGGAGCCCTTCGGCGCTGGTTCAAAGATGCGCGACTGCATTTCCGAAGGTAGTGCACCATACACTGGAAGAATGATGAGCTCTGGAGCCAAAGCACGTTCCTGTAACGCCTTGATACGCTGATACAGCACTTCGCATGCTGTATCAATTTCTTCTTGACCCGTTAAAAACAGCAAAATGTCTCCCTCTGGTTCGGACAGATGAATTTGCATCACGCAAAGAAGCGATGCGTCTAAGTAGTCAAGCTCTGGTTCCTTCGTATACAGAATTTCGACAGGAAAGGTACGTCCTGGAATTGTAAAGATAGGGCAATCAAAGAAATATCGCGAAAATTTTTCTGCATCCAGTGTTGCCGAGGTCACAATAATTTTCAGGTCCTTCCGTTTGCGCACGAGATCTTTTAGCAGACCAAATAGCACATCAGTGTTGATTGTGCGCTCATGAGCTTCATCAAGCATCAGTGCGCTGTACTTTGACAGCGTCGAGTCAGCCAAGTACTCACGTAGAAGCATACCTTCAGTCATGTACTTGATCACTGTCTCCGGGCTCGTGACATCTTCAAATCGCATCGAGTAACCAACTTCCTGCCCTAGTTCGCAGCCAAACTCCTCGGCTACACGCTTTGCCACAGATGAAGCGGCTACACGACGGGGCTGCGTGCACCCAATAATACCAGTGGAAGTTAATCCCATTTCTGCCATATACTGTGTCATCTGCGTGGTTTTGCCAGAACCAGTTTCTCCAATGACCACAAGAACCTGATTACCAGCGATTGCATTCATGAGTTGACGCTTTAGTTTGAAGACAGGAAGACTCTCGCGCTGCTCTAGAATGGACTTGTTCGATACAATGCCGTACGATAGATTCTTGCCGACCGACTTCTGTTTCCATTCAGGCAGCTCAAACGTTGAGCCCATATTGATACCACGCAGTTCTTGAGCGAAATGGCGCTCACCAGCATCTGGCATCGGATCTTCCCAAGGACGATTAAGATCCTTCGGGATGGAATCAATGAGCTGATTCGCCTGAGTTTGTCGCAGTTCACGGCGTTCCTTCGCCAGGTTAGACTGTGTCATAGCTGCACGCTGCATCGTTCCATCCGGATTCTTCACAATCTTGACGGGGGATATCTCACGGCTTACCTGAGTCCGACCACGAAGGAATACTGGTTCATCCTCATTTAGCTCCACCTCAAAGTCCTCCTCCGTAGTTTCAGTGTTAAGTAGGCCATGCTCTTCGTCGAAAGTTGGATAGTCCTCAATTGATAATACGCCAGAATTAATCAGCTGCTGCACTTCCCACCGCTCAGGGGATGACATGCGCTTGGCAGCACGCTGTGTCTTGTTGTCGTCTTCATCTAGCTGTTGCGATCGCTGCATACCAGGTGCAGAAGGGTTAATCCAGGAGCGCGAGTCCGAGGATTTGTTCTCTTGTCGAGCTCGCTCGGTACCACCGCTTGAGCGTTGGGGCATCAAATCCTGTCCCGTCTTTTGATCCACATCTCGCATAGACATCGACAACTTTGCACCAGAGATCGAAATGAGTTTGACTTTTACACGATCTCCACGCTTGGCAAAGTCCTTTACATTGTTCACACGAGTCGATGATAAGTTTGATACGTGCACTAGTCCTTCCTTCTTGTCTCTTACGAACGCATCCAGCTCCACAAAAACACCAAAGTCCATGATTTTGGTCACACGACCGTCATAAATGCCATACAGCTCCAGCTTTCTCGGCTCGACATCTCGTTCTCGTCGATCATCGTCACGATCTCGATAATCACGACGGGAACGCGATGATCCATAACGATCATCACTTCGATCACGTCCTCGACTACGATCACTTTTTCTGTAACGTCGTTCGCTTCTTTTTCCTTCCGCCGATCTCGACCTCGATCGTCTACTTCTCCGACCTCGTTCATCATCTCGTCCACGACTTTTGTCACGTCCATAACGATCTTGTTCTTTTGCTCGATCTTTAGTTTGAGAATGACCAACACTCTCGTTCTCACGGCATGGAAGAGACGTCTTCTCATCCTTTTTCTTGTCTTCAAGATCTTCGACTGTAGCTCCTACGATATCTGCTGCTGTAAGTTGCTCGTCGTCTCGAATGATCGGACACTTTTTACTCTTATTCTCATTATTGTTTCCTTTCCTTTGCTTCATCATGTGTGGTGTCATCGTCTGCACGATCCTATAGAGATTCTCAGCCAGTGAAAGAGGTAATGGCAGCTCATCCTCTTTAATGGACGCGAGAAAAGCGACACAACTTGAGCTATTACGTACTAGATCAATAATAAACTCAGCCAGTGTCTTATCACTCATATTTAAATGGTTTTCTAACGCCTGACACACTTTGGACACGAGACTCAATTCCTGTAGCTTGTCCATTTTGCTCTCCAGTGCGCAATGAGGGCACATTTGGTGGCACGTCACACCAAACAGATGTACCGATGATGTGGTGGGGATAAGTTAAGGGTTGAAATGAATAACAACCAATCGATGACCATAACGATACCATTCTTGGGTTTTGATTGGCTAGTGTGTTGGAAATCCAAACTCAAGTTGTAATTGTGATCACGACGATTCATACTGTACTGTCTGTACTGTAGCAGCTGCACAGTTAGTTCTCTATACTGGACCAAGTCAGTCTTCCAGTATGACAATGAAGACACAGCAACAGAAGCAGCAGCAGCAGCAAAACGTCTGTCTGCCTCAGTCAATGACCGAGATGCAGTCTCTTTCATCATCTCTTCACAATACAAACATGGAAATAGCCATGACAACCCAAGGCAATAATCTCTTTCATCATGTCCAATACAATCCCGATCCAGCGTCACCAGCACCTTCTTCCGTGTCTTCAAAAGAGAAATGGCAACAGAAACGTCACGTATGTGAAACATTTGATTGTGGCAAGAGTTTTGACTCGAAATGGGCTCTTATTAGGTGCGTTATTAGCGTTAACGTTTGCCACTTTATTATTATTGCAAGAATTATTGGTATCTAATCTGTTTACAATTGATACAATAAGACACATTCGTGTCCATACGGGTGAGAAACCATTTTCATGTACGTATCCGACTTGTAACAAGTCGTTTGCTGAAAAATCTGCCATGACGCGGTACGTGTAGGAAGAAAGTATGAAACAGATTTGAAGGGTTTGATATTGACGTCTGATGGATACAGTCATTTGCAGACACATTCACGCGACAAGCCGTACAAATGCACGTATGCAGACTGCACCAAGAGTTTTAAAGGCAAGGATTACTTGGAATTTCATTTGAAGATTCATGCTGAAGGGAATCCGTACGCGTGCGATCATCCCACGTGCTCCAAGACTTTTTGTAGTCCCAAGAGTCTGAAGAAACATATTAGACTGTGGCATAATCCTGGTGGTAAAAGCACTTCGATGGAGCAGCAGCTAAGGGAACGTATCATTAAGATGGCCACACGCAACAAGGACAAGACGCGCAAGTTTGAGTTGACGATTCGAACTCTTTTGGAGGAGAACGAGTCACTCACGCGGAGGATTATCGAGCTAGAAAGCTGTCAACAGCGATTGTAATGAGAGTTGCGACTGCATCCCCTTCATGGGCATGTCGGAACCTCATTTATGATGCCAGTTGTGCGAGTGATTTATTAGGCACGGAGGAGATGCCCAAGACGGAGATAAGACCGGCGCATCCTGCGTATAGTGTGTCTACATATGAATTATAGAGGTGGTGGACGGACGGACGGACACAGCTTGCATGTGTGTGTGCCTTTCACTAATCAAATACAAACTCAGGGTTGACCCACCTCATCTTACATGTCTATATCTAAAGCGTAGCGTTGTTTGTCCTGCACGTGAGAGATGAAAGCATCATTTCGATATTGAATAAACTACCTGAGAGAAGAAAAAACGAGACATGCTAATCAAGCTGCAAATGCAGGAGATATCGTATCATTCTTCCTTACATGCCTCGTGGCTTGGGTCCACCAGCCGCCTTTGCCATGATGATCTGGTCCACACGCAACACCGTAATGGCAGCATCGGCACCAAGGCGGATAGCAGACATCTTCGTCTGAAGGTGGTCCCAGATGTTCTTGTCCAACGCGTCCAGGATTACGTGCGACTCCTGCTTGTTCTGCAACAGTATAATATCACGTCAAAAGAAGTCAGTCGTTAAGGCTTCACCAGAACAACCACAATTAACCAAGCACAACTTACGTCCACATCCACACCAGCACTAACATTGCCCGCCGCGTGAGTAGCGTACAGGCTAGAAATGACCTCAGTGGCCATTTGGCCTGAGTTCTCGGCCAGAATCCGGGGCACGACCTCAATAGCATCACCAAACTTCTTAATGGCGTACTGGTCAAGACCTGGCGTAGCTTCACCAAAGCTCTTGATCTGACGAGACAGCTCGATCTCAGTGGAACCGGCACCAGACACGAAACGGCCGTCCCGGCACACAGACTTTACGCAGTTCACACCATCGTCAATAGCCCGTTCGATGTCGTTTAGCACGTTGTCCGTGCTTGCTCGCAGCACAATAGTTGAAATCTTGGCATCTTCCTGATCCTGCTGGAAAACAGTGACCTTTTTGCCGCCAATCTCCTTGACCGTCACACTGTCACAGAAACCCATCTCATCCGGCGTGGGAGCGCCCAGACGCACCAGAGCATTTGCGTTCACAGCACGGCAAAGGCGACGCAGTTCCCACTTTGACTGGATCTTGATTGCCATAAGGTTGTACTTTTCCAAAAAGTGCATCGCCATCTCACTGATGCTTCCACCCGAGACGACCACCGTAGCACCTGATTCACTAATAGCACGGACAGCTTCCTCCAAGTGCTTCTCTTCCCCCTTGTTGTAGTTCATGAGCTCATCAGCATCTTTAATAAGCACCGTGCTCTTTGCCTCCGTGGACGAGATTTCAAGACCGCAGCCGAATATCGCGACCTTTGCATTAAGTGCCTTCTTCACATTACCCTCAGTATCGCGCTGAATAACCATACCACGGATAACCGTCGAGTCGTGTAGATTACCTCCCATGATCTTAGCCACACGAATATTATCCACATTAATCGACAATTTCTTTGGAGCTGCAGGCATCACATTCAAACAAGCCTCTGCTACAAGTTTGGCCAATAAATCTTCATATCCGTACTGCTTGGAAGCCAGCGATGTCTTGATGGCCTTTTGCAGTTCCACTTGATCGCGCGGGTCCTTCACCTGCACCGTCTGCAACTTTTGCAAAATCTCTTGACATTTGTCGTGTGCCTTCTGGTAGCCCGTAACAATCTCGCTCGCGTGCAGCCCCATCCGCAATAGACTGGCAGCTTCCATCAGCAATTCACCTGCTAATGCCACCACGAGACACGTACCATCGCCAAAGTCATTCTCCTGCATCTTGGCAGCCATGACAACCATACGCGCAGCTGGATGAACAACATCCAGCTCCTTTACAATTGTAGCCGTGTCACTTGTTACAAAAATGCGTTCAAGATGATTAATAACGAGTTTGTTCATGCCATTGGGACCCAATGATGAGCGTGTGATAGCTGCCAGCTGTTTGACAGCGTTAATGTTCTTGGCAACAGCCTCATCCACGCCTTCAAAATGCTTGTGACCGTCCTTTAGCATCGATGACAGGCCATTGGCCACGTTTAATCCCATTGACTTGGACATACTTTAAGTCTTTTATTATGGCTGGTCGTCCGTCCGTTCGTCTTTCGTTTAGTGTCAAAAGATTTTTCATTTTTTTTGGACCAGAAGGATTGCATGAAAAAGAAGGATTACGATTGGATAAAACGAATGCAAATGTTTTTTACCACAAGATACAATTAATTATTTTTATTTATCTCAATTAATATGCAATAATAATTTAGAATGAGCATTTATTTCTTTTGGTACTAATTTTTTAGATGGTCAAATATTTAGAACAAGTCCAGATTGCCAATTTATAGTAGTTTATTATTGGTGACCAGCAGTTCATTCGTTGACCGTCGGCATGATGGACGGCTTCTCGCTCAACATCTCGACGTCCAGTGGTATTCGCAAGCCTATTAAGAAGAAAAACACATTTCGCGTCAAACAGCTAGCAAAACGCGCAAAAGCAAAGGCAAAAAAGTCCGGCAAAGAACCTCTAAAGACCCATGGACATCATTATGGTAAGCAAAGTCCTGGACATCAACTACAGACACCGCATAATGACGTCAAAGTGCAAGAAATAGAGACGAAAAAGATGGAAGTGAAGGATAACGTACCAAGAGTTGAAGCTGTTGCTATTAAACCTGAAGAAATTGTGGAAATTGTTCCAGCGAAGCATGAGGTATCAACCGAGAATTTAAAACAAAACGACATCAAGACAGAGGACGTCACGGATGAAAGTGAAGCTGAGGTTGAAAAGGTAGAAGAAGTGAAGCTCAAGACGTTTGGTACCCGTCGTAACCCTAACAAGGAGGGTTACAGTGCAGAGACGTTTACGCAACCCCGTGTGAAGATCGACAATGTCTTGTCAAAGCCATTGACGTCGTCGTCGAGTGAAAAGATTTTTGCTGCCAACACGTTTGAGTCAATGAAGATGTCGGAGAAGCTGGTAAATGTGCTGAAGAAAGATGGAGAAAGTTGTGGCTTTGGTTTTACGCGACCGACCAACGTGCAAGTGCAAACAATTCCGTCGGTGATGAAGGGCAGTGATATTCTCGTAAAGAGCGAGACAGGATCGGGTAAGACGCTGTCGTACTTGCTTCCTATTGTTCAGAAGCTGCAGGAGATTACACCGCGCATTCAGCGTCAGGATGGTTGCCTAGCGCTAGTGCTGGCGCCCACCCGTGAGCTTTGTACTCAAATCTTGGAGACTGCCAATAAACTCATCCAGCCGTTTGTTTTCTTGGTACCGGGTGCTATTGTCGGTGGTGAGAAGAAAAAGTCGGAAAAGGCACGACTTCGCAAAGGAATCACTATCTTGATTGCTACTCCAGGACGGTTGGCGGATCATCTGGTGAACACTCAGTCACTCAGCTACTCACGCTTGCAATTTCTGGTGCTAGACGAGGCAGATCGCCTGCTGGATATGGGTTTCGAAAAGCAGCTTACACAGATCTTGACTATACTAGATAGCAAGAAGACGCACGTGAAGCGACAGAATATTCTAGTATCCGCCACAATTAACAGCGGTGTGCAGCAGCTGGCTAAGATGAGTCTCTCGACCAACTCCGTGCTGATCGATGCAGATGCGACAACTAGCGGTGAAGAAGCACCATCAAAGGTCGACCACACTAAGCAGGAGAAGTTTTCCACTCCGCACCAACTGATGCAGCACTTTATGCTCGTCCCAGCAAAAGCTCGTCTGTGCGCGCTGACATGCTTCTTGCGTGAGGAGCTGCGCCACGCTCCTCGCGATAGTAAGAATGGTACTGTGCCCGGTAAGTGTAAGATTGTAGTGTTCTTGTCGACGTGTGACGCCGTGGACTTTCACTACGCGCTGTTCCGCAAGTGCGCGTGGCCGTCAGGGAAGGGGTCGTCTGAAGAAGCTGATAACAGTAGCGAAAGCAATGGCGTGGCTTCATTGTTTGGCGGTCAAGGGTCCGTGTTCCGCCTTCACGGTAATATCGCTCAGCAGGAACGTGTGACCACATTCACGAGTTTCTGCTCTTCGAGTTCTGGCGTCTTGCTCTGTACCGATGTGGCTGCGCGTGGTCTTAACTTGCCTACAGTGAAGTGGATCGTCCAATATGATCCACCTACTGAAACTCGTGACTACGTCCATCGTGTGGGACGAACTGCCCGTAGTGGTAACCAAGGTAGCAGTCTACTGTTCCTGATGCCTTCTGAGTCCGACTACCTTGACTATTTGAGCAAGCAAGGCCTAAAGTTGAATGCGTTGAGTCTTGAAAAAACTGTTGCGCGCGTTGGTAAGCACGGCGGGTTCCTGGCATCTCGCAAAAAGCTGTTGCATGAGGTTGTACAAGGAGACCTGCAGTTCCTGTACGAACAGACACTTTTGGCTGACAAGGAATTATTTGAGCTGGCATGTCAAGCATTCCACTCTTTTGTGCGCAGTTATGCCACGCACTCTTCAGACACGAGACAGATCTTCCATGTCCGTAGCCTGCACTTTGGTCACGTTGCAAAGAGCTTTGCGTTGCGGGAACCACCAGCTTCTTCAAAGCTGCGTACGACTGGACGAAACGCCAAGAAGGGTACGCTACATAAGCGAAAGGAGCGTGACGACAAGCAACAGGCAGTGGTCGCCAAGAAGCAGAAAAAGGTGCGCGACGAAAAGCGCCGGTATGCACAGAATGTGTCCGAGTTTGCCGACTAGTGGCTGTTTAATAACCTGCACTAACAAAATTTTTGCATTTACGTTCTTTCTTATACTTACGTGACTTGCTCTGGATGTGGATCAAGTTATCATGCATCAATCACATTAAGTGCTTCTTCTCTTCTTCGACATGCGTTGTTTGCTTTTGCCTTGTATAGCAGGTTCCTGCATCTGCGTGGCCTTTGATTTTGCTTTGTTCGTGTTCTTGTTCTTCTTGGCTTTAGGGGCCAACAGCGGTGCAAAAATTTCAGCAACATCCGAACTCTGCGTGATTTCCACAACCTTGCCATCAATAGCAATTGGCAGCTTCGGGAAAGCACTAAACATGAGCACATACAAATGAATTAGGACCGCTGTGACAACGCACCTATCTCTCAGCAAGTAACTTACCGAAGTAGTGTCTGCAGCGCAAAGGCAGCACAAAAACATTGTTGGGCCAAGGTGACCGTATCAGAATTGTGACCATTGACCTCCAAAAAGTGCTGCACCACTTGCTTAGCAGCAATTGGGTTCTCCAGCTGTAATTCCACGAATCGCGCAAACTCGTGCACCACCGCATCACGTTCGTGCATCCACTGTACTTTTTGCACCGCAAAGACGCGATTTTTCACGTCAAACGTACCGACCACCTGCGGCTCCATATAATCTGTATCCGTTTCCTCTTGATCGGTTTCTTCTTCGTCCTGTTGCGTCTTGAGAGCCTTGTTCACGTTTGGTTTGCTACTTCGCACCAGCGCCAGCAACGTTCGTCGTTGGTCCTCGGTCTTGCACAGCGACAGAATCAGATCCAAGCCGTACCCTACACCCCTAGGAAGCACTTGAGGGCATAGTGAAGGTGCTAGTGTCATCATAAGGCTCTGCAGCTGCTGCACAGCAGACAATGGATCACTCGCCATGATGTCGAAAAGACTGACAATAATTGGTTGAGATGGGCTTTGGTCGATCTCAAAACCTCTTAAATATTATTGTACTTTCAAGTATGTACTTAAATGTGTTAATTCATTTGAAATCGAACAAAAATGATGTCTGCGGCGCTGCATGTAGAAGGCGCTGGGGCCTCGGACTTGCAGCTGATCCGACGACGAATGCGACAAGGTCTTCCTCCTCAGGATGTTCAGGAATATCTATGGCGAGTAAGAATTGAAGCAGAAGGAATTCCCGATGTCGTAGTGGCTCCTGATGTCAATCCACGACAATTTGATGCTCAACAGACCAGCAATATGCCAAAGTTGCAGTCATTCGGTCTTCAAGCGACCGATCCAGATAGGGTCCCTCATGACAAATGGGAGAAAGAAGTGCTAGCAGATTTTGCAGAGTTGAGACAACTACTTGCACGTTGGGAAGCCATTGGACCGCCAAAAGCGGAGACTTTGAAGGCAGGAGACGTTCCCATTGAGATCTTACGGACGAACGTGCCGAGAATGAGTGATGAGGATGGATGGATTGCCTTTTTCTTTGGCAAACCAGGGACAGAGACAACAGCCACACCGCCGCATTTAAGACTGTTGCTGCAGTTCGATCAGGTTTTGACCAGAAGACTGCTGGATTATCATGCTACATGGCTCAGTGATGAGATGATGTCACTCTCTCGAGCACGGGCGGTATGGATATATGCATTGCTGGCTCGCTTGGATAAGCCCGTTCATGCTGGTGTTGCTGCTACGATTCGACAGATTCTACGATGCTGCTGGACGTTGAGGTGCGATCTGGAAGCGCCGTCGGACCTTCAGCTCAAGTCACTAAACATTCTTATTGTCATTACCGGTGGGTTCTTTGGCCAATTGCACGACTTGGAAGAATACGCGTGAAGGATATGACTGTAGTATGTAATAATGACACATTTGCGTGTGAAAAGTGAACGAGTCCTTGCAAAAAGCTGTTCGTCTTCTGCAATTCACGCATTATAAACCATTAATTTCTATACAGACCCTTTCAATTCCTCGCCATTGACTGCGATAACACACATTCTTCAATCACCTCTTCGTCCACTTATAACGTAGCAAATAAAACCACGCAAGTCCGAGCGGACTCTTCATCTTAATATATTTAAAGTTGTTGTTGCGTCTGGCTGAATGAAGCCCAGCCTTTCTCGCTTGCATGACTCTTGCGGAGTAACTCATGTTTGTATAAAGATGGTACAATTACGACCTCACCCGCCATCGCTTTAAAGTAGTTGACTAATAATGTTATCATGGATAAAAAAGACAACAAGCTCGTCCGTATCTTCAAAAGCGCATTCCCTTTGCAACCCGATCATTAATTCCTTCTAAGGACCGTGCTAACGATCACTCAACAACGTGCCATGTTGGATCGGTATTTAAAAAGACATTTGTCTACTGCATGGCATCGTATACCCAATAGGCTGCGATGGTTTTGTACAGCTAGTGAGGACAAGTATTTGGAGCTTAAACAACTGAAAGATATCAAAAGGTTTGGCTATGTAGCTTTTTTTGTGGGTCTGCGATACTGAGGCATCTTGTTGCATGCAGTGAAGAGTTTTACGACCTGCAAGGCCAGGAGCGGCGATACTTTTACTACGTTGATTTACAGGTCAGTAATGACCGGTTGACATTTGCATTAGCATTGATCAAGGAGATGACAGTACAATCGATTTGCTTGGACTAAAACAGGGCCGGTTGTTTTTAGAAGACACACGGCCGAAGAACATTGCAACGTCTCTAAAGAGTGCCAAGTTTTTACGGTTTTTCTTCTCGCAGGTGCGACTCAATGAGATTGCACAATGCAAGTCAAAGGAGGAAGAAGCATTCTTAGAGTACCCTTTCCGGTCACCATGCGGCAAAGAAATGAACTTTATCAAGTGTGCTGACCGTCCGTTCGTGTTCGAGAATCTCCGAAAAGATGACAGTGGCAACTGGACACTCGTGTTTGGCGGTGGAGAGCTGATGATGCCTTTTCAGCCAGAAACGCTACGGATCTCCCTTTCAACTGGAAGACTGTACCATGACATACAGACCAAGCACGTTGCGTCAGGAATTCCTGAGGGAATCGCACTTGTGCGATCTCAGCTCGCAGTGGAACTTGGCAACTATATCGACGTACATGACTTCCCCGACAACATCGACGCAGAGATGGATATAAATGCTTTGGAAATAGGTGACTTTGAGTGGGAAAATCAACGCTATTCTATCCACGCCATTAAATAAGCAGCTCAGATCAGCGACTACATGTTTGATAACTTCAACGAATACCCAAAACAAAGACAAGTATTTTGCCCAAATTAGATATTCTAGACCGTTTTGAGCTTAAGTCGTCATTCGAGCCCAAAACAATAAAACTTCTTCAATAATGAGGTCGAGCCGCAGTCGCGCCGCCGTGTCAACGGGCAATTGTGTGGCTCAGTTCATCGTGATCGCTGCCGTTTTCAGTGTCGTGTATCAGCTCTTCATTAAGTCAGCTACAGTCATCTCTCTGTCGACTGCATCTTCGCTGGGTGGCGGCTACGACAAGGGCAAAGACTCGCGCCGCTTTACCTCGTCCGAGATCACTGGCTTCTTGCTCTTTCTGGGACTCTTTGGGCTGTTTCAACACAAGAAAAAGCAGGAAACAAAGGCACACAATGAAGCAAAGCAGAAGCAGATTGTCAAGATTATGCAGAGCTTGAAACTTAGTTTTCAAACGGCAAGTTTAACGAGATTAAGAGCTTCCGTGACCAATTTGCCACGTGACGTCCTGTACGAGCTGCTATTGTTTCTATCACCGAAAGAATTAGCTACTTGTCCATTGGTATGCAGAGCTTGGAACTACTATGTTGGAAATGCTGCTGAGACGCTTTGGAGGCACGTCTTTCAGCGGGACTTTGATGAAACGGGCGATAAATTTGCCAACATTTTCCCCACTGAGTGTTGGCGGCAGTTTTACTTTCGACATCATTTGTCACGAGCCGTTGAACTTGCGAGATTATTAGAAATTACGCATGGCCGTAAGTGTGTGGCAATTAAAGGACAGGTGTATGATGTCACGGACTTTTTGGAGTTGCATCCGGGTGGGCCACATGTAATCGGAGATGCAGTGGGTACCGATGCTACAGTGATCTGGGATCAGTTCCAGCATTCCAATGAGGCAAAAAGGAGCATGGAGCAGTTTTTAGTATGGGACAAAGTGCTCGCAAGGCCTGAGAGCGAGAAACTGCATGGTAACCTCGAGTCTGTAATGATTCAATGGCAAAGAACCTCGTGGGCGCTCACACACTGGCACTCCTTCGGACGCATGGCGCCGCAATTGGCCAACGCTGTATTCCGCCTCCACTCACGACGTGTGACAAGTAAAAAAGACAAAGTGCCCGCTACTGCATGATGAAGTTTTTTTGCCTAGATGAACTACGTCTCCAAGGGGAATCCAAGACCTAATGAAAGCAACGCATGGTGACGCTGATTCTTGGCTCACGACATCGAGCCATCTTGGGAACCGCATGTTTGTGAGTTTTTTGTGTCGTGCCGCCCATGATCATCAGGTCTCCGTCCCCAATTTGCAACTCCATTTGTGCTACAGCTTCACTGTCTTTAGGAGCACTCTTCGACGTCTTTTTCGTGAACACGAACCGCCTCGTAGCTCCTAACGATAATGCAACAATAGGAGAGCACGCTATCATATCACGCTCATCGTCAGCGTGAGGACCGATGTAGTGATCTCCATTCTCGTACCAATTCACGAGACCTCCTGTGAGTCGTGTCCGCAGGGTAGCGGGGTCTTCTACAATTCGTTGCATGTGCTCGATAGCGTGCCTCAAACCTCTCGGATACTCTTTCTGTGCTTCATATGTCTTACCAGAGTATCTATAGCTCCCCATTTCCCCACATAACTGCTGGAAGCGTGGAAGCTTTGTCGGTTTACCGAACATCATGATAGTATCGTGCTCCTTTGGATGTGTCTCCCAAGCTTGTTTGAACATCGTAGACCAGAGGACTGGTGATTTTTCTCCATTTTCATCCTCATCTAAAGCTGCTGAATTGAGATCTTCAGGCGTGGCGTGCTCGAAAATATGCCGATACCAGCGTGGTACATGATAAACCCAACTCTTGCGGTCTGTTGTAAGATACGAGATAGCCGCGTCTTCTTCAAACACCTTCGATATATTTGCCTCCGGTAAATGAGCAATGGCAGCAGCTTTCTTGGCGTTGAATAGAACGTTGTTCAACGAAAATTCCTCAGGGTCCGGCGATAGAGACGTTTTCAGACGCTTGGTAGATCCATTATCACCTGAGGACTGGTGGCGCTTGGAAGGCATAGCGAAAAATAACCGCCCACTGTCCCGGAATCGGTACATTACTCTCACAATTTCTATCGATGCACAGTCTTCACGTATTCACAATCCTTTTTTTCAACAACTATAAAATGGTGTTTGCTGCTTCTACACACTGTAGAAATCACCATACGCATTCAAGGTGTAGCCAGCAATTTGGCCTGCCTATCAACCACACACGGCAACTTGTCTTCCCCTGAATTTGCTAAATAAGAACCTTCGAACAGCGACATGCTGACACTTACTCGATGGTAAAACCGGTGATGTCCATCTGTACGATTAGATTGACGTACTCCGCCATCACCTCCTTCGACTTATAGATAGGCAGATCAAGACGGTTGAAACACGTGTGTGCCTTTGGAAATAGGAACGAAGGGTTCGTGCCAGCAAACGCAACGTTAAAACGCCGCACACGACCGTCACTGCTGATCAAACCCTTAAAACCCTGCGCCGGGACTCGACTAGTGCCTGTCGCGAACTGAAGCAAGCGAACGCGGTCCTCGTTCCTCATTTCTTCCACTACCTCCCATAGCCACTCAATGTTTCGGAGCTCGAGTTCCGTGGGAAAGTTGTGTGTAAAAAACTTAAAGTCGGTGTGTTTCTTCCAATCCTCTACGTCGATAGATGGCACTCCACACATCAGTAGTTCAAGCTCTTGGTAGTCAAACAGCTTAAGCAGTCCTTCAGGCACTACGTCGTAGAGCGCCGTAAGGAACGATAGCAGTTGAGCGCTAATGCTTCCCAGCACATGGTATTTAAAGAGTGCGTCCAAATACCGAGAGCGGTTCTCACGTGTTACGTCGATATTAACGCCACCCTCGACAAGCTCAACGACGTCCGCCTTGCCATCCACAACGCGAGTGGCTGTAAAGTCCAGACACAACGGTTCAATGTCGTCGATCTTTTTCACCATCAATGCACTATTGTATATCTCGTCATCAAGGAATTGCAAATCGGAGAATGAGATCGGCACACCCAGAATGTGCTTGAGGAATGGTAGTGCGAGATGCACCGGCATCAAATGCTCTTCCAAAATTGCTTTGCCCACGAGCCTTCCTGCAAACCCAAAATAAGCCAAGTGGTCATCCTCACCAATTAGCAAGTCTGAGCTCGCGTTAATCCAATAACTTCGTTCGTCTCCAACCGTGCTCACGAAAAGTCCAAAGGTCGGGTCAAAAAGTTCAGCAAACAGCAGCGTGAACCATTCGCGCATAACGCCACCTGCATCTAGCGCTGGCTCTCCATCAAAAACCACACGCCACCTCTGTCTCAACTGAAACGGCTTCATAGCTGTTACACGTTCAAAGGAGTCCTGCAACAGATGATCCCGTCGCACCACGAGCTCTGCATGTCCAGACTCCCAGGGTAGCCACAGCCGATGAATTTCCGTCGAGAACCAGCGAATCTTGTCTGGGAATGGCAAATTATGCACGCGCTCGAGATTCATAATGAGTTCCGAGCTGCCTTTACCGTCTAGAATATTAATCCTGTAGTGGAAATCCGTCGCAACCACATCACTCTCATTCAGCACCAATCTTCCTATGGAATCTCTTACGCGAATATATCCAACAGACAAGTTGCTGTCTCGGTCCGTCGCATCCAAGTACCGATTCAGCGACAACCTTCCTCCTGGATCACTCTCCATTGAAGTTCGTTGAGCTCTTGAATGTCCTCTGGTAGATTGCTGTCGAACCCATCGATGTAACCCATCAGTTGTTGGCATTCGTTTCCACTCTTGTCGTCGACTAGCAGCTAATTGCAATTTACTCATTTTGCTTTTCAACTTTTTCTTTTTTTTCAAATACTCAAAACTTTGTCGACTAAAAGACCCACCAATTGCATCATCGCCATGTGCCGATGCAAAAGCTTCCATCTCACCAATTCTTCCCATTCTATGGGTGGAAGAAGAGCTTAAACTGCTACTATTGGAATGCTGCGTCAAACTGCGACGTCGGGAGCGATTATTATTACCTGCTACGTCTCGTTCTGCACCCTTTAAAGTCTGACACAAGTCACACAGCTTTCGTTCTGGATGGTTGAGGAATTTACACACCCCACAGCGCCACAGTGTCTGCTCTGTAAAGCTGTCATTGAGTTCCTCACGGTAAACATCAGCTGGTTCCTGAGTAAACACAAGAGACTCACGCTCTCGCTGGACTTGAATACGACGACAAAAGAAGAGCAACATCACAATGGCCCCAACAAAGAGCAGGACACTCATGGCTACAAGCACTGCCAGACCTGCCGTCATGTCGTGATTCGAAAGGTATCGACAGAGAAGTATTCAATGGGTTGACTACTTGTGGCACTTATTCAAAAGCTTCACTTTTCTGCACGCTGATTGGCTTAAAAATGTACCAAAACGTAGCACCGACTTTTTGTCGGTCTATTGAATTGTGTTGGATGAGAGAAATATAACGACGCCTAACCCTGGAAGAGTCAGACAAATAGTAGGACTGAGGATTCTGGCTAGATATGTAGTTCGAGAATGGGCTACTTTTGTATTATAATTGTTCCCACCTTTGACCACAACGGCAAATCATTGGCTCCTAGATAGCAGATGGTTGTAGCAGCTGCCAATCAACAGCGTCTTTGGGCTCCAACATACTGAGACTAATGCAATTTCCTTTCATTGGCAGTAAGGATCGTGGTCTTGTAAGCATCTCTTCAATTAGTCGGTTTTTCAGTTATAATCAAGCAAAATTGTATAATTTGAGCCTTTACAAACGTCAAGACAAAAGTGTCAAACCGCAATTTTTGTCAACCAGGAAAAACACGATGCTATAGTTAGTATATATCTTGCGCTTTGCATAATGAGTACGAGCGGATCAGTTGAATGGCAACGTGATCCTGCGTGGTCACGCGCATGTCAACACTTGCTGTCGTACACGTCAAACTGGTGAAAATGCAAAGTATCAGGATGGTGGAACATCGTCTGCAAAAAAGCATCGATGTTTTAGATGGATGAGGGGTGAAATCTAAAACCGATGGTTCAGTTACATGTACCTGCTCGCTACATGTCGCCACTTCATCTTACTACGCGACACGCCGTCTCAATTGCCTAGGCGTTGCCAGCGACATGTCACTCTGTAGTCGCTAATGGTGTCAAATAGATGAATTTCTTATCGATGGCGCTTGCACTGTCCGCGTGTATCACTCAAAGTACTAGTTTCCTGTCCATCTCATTTTTCTGGACAATCCATTTGGTGCTGTATGATGCACAATGCTCTGAAGGCAGACGAGATGTCAGTAGTCGTTGAAATAGACAAAAATGCTGCCCTTGTGATCGAGGGTCTCACGCTGGTGATCGAGGGAATTAGAGCTTGCGGAGCTTGTTAAACATAGGCCGGGTAGGGCAAATTCTACGGGCACGCGCTTCCTGTAGTAGTGACGACGACAGTACCCGTCGTCATTACAGAAACGTGTCTTATTGATTCTGGGTGCGCTAGTACAGTAAGTAGGTTGCATTCGTTTCCATTGAAACCCACGGCGAGTGTCCTGTGCGTTTCGGTCTTTTCACCAAGAATATCATCTGGATAGGAAGACACTCGATCCAGGAGCTCATCAAGCAACTTGGCACGCCGCCATCGTCTCAAATGAATGGATGCACATTTTGCCCCTGCATTTATTGGCGAACCCAGTCCATGATAGACGTCGCGTAGCTTTTACCTTAGCTATTGGCGTTGTAACCATCACAGCCAATGGACTGTCAATCGAACAAGTTGGAAGCGAGGTAAACATTGCCACTGTGTTCATCGCTGCAATTGCCGAGAATGTCTATCAAGTACCGGTCCTTCGCTTGTCTAATGCACACTGCGTCTTTCTGCCGCTGTCTTGCCCGAGGCTAATTATGTCGTCACTTGCACTAAAAAAGATCGTCGTGTTGGCGATTTCTGCCTGTGTGAACTTCCAGCGGGTGGTACTGACACGGTAGCTGGTTCTCCAAAGTCAGAAGCACGAAAGACACGTTTTGTCAAGTTGTTACGTGAGCACGCAGCTTCGCGATCACATCAAACAGCAGGCAACAGCGGCTTGCTTAGTCAAATCACTACTGCCTTCTGTTTCCGTGGCCGAAACGCCGACGGCTTCAAACTAAGATTCAATATGTCCGCCATATCCGGTGGGCATTCACCTGCTGTCCACGCAACGATAATGCAAACACATTCTTTCCAGCAACACAGACCAAGTTCATTGCAATGCTACGTGATTCAAGGCAAAACATGCGAGTTGCACTCGCATTCTATTTTTCCTTCTTACTCTCCTTAGTCTCCTTTTCACTTTCATCCTGCTCCAAGTCCTCATCCTCTTTCTCGCTATCACTCGAGTCCGCAGCGTTCATCACCTGCTCAAACAGTGTGGGCTCGTTATCTAATTCCAAATCCTCTGGGTGCGGCTGATAAACCGGAAGAGTGGATGCAGGGGCAACGTTAAACTGCAGCATTCACACAGAAACACACATAGCCATCAATAAGTAACTAAACATGCAAATGAGCAATATAACCACAAGAACGAACCTTAGCAACAGCGCGCAAGTCCATGCCGACGTATGAGTCACTCTTAACAAAAATATCCAGCTGGTAGGTGCCAGCCTTTGGTGGGGCCTGCAGCTGCAGCTTCTGCTCAAACACATGCTCTTGTGATGTCATTTTAGCAAAAGAGTGAAGATGGTTCATCTTCGTATCGCCCACCACGCAGTACCAGCGCTCCATCTTCGGGTACGGGAATCGCGGAGCGTACACCAGGTCGCACGTGTCGCCTTCCTTCACGTTCTTACGGGTAAGCTTGACAGTGACCGTCATAATGTCACCCTCAGCAATAAACTCTTCATCGTCAACAGCTATCGAAATCTGCAGCTCCATGTTAGGCATCATCTCTAGCACTTTGTTCACTTCGGCGCGGTTCTCCTCCGACAAATCGACCAGCCCCTTACGTTCTTCCGGCTTCATAGCAATGTATTGGTGCATGCTACGCACAGCGCTCTTGCCTGTGACAATGTGCTTGACCTCCGACTCTGTCAGGTGCGGCAATTGCAGGAAAGGCGGGTCCTTGAACCAGAGTCCCTGTGTCAAGAACTGCTGCATCTCCATTAGATTGAGTGTGGTCTGCAGCCAAGACTTCATGACCGAAATCTCCAACATTCCGTCCACCAGCTGAATAGATTTCTTCAGCATCGCGTGGAGGTCTTTCTGCAGCGTGGGGCTCAGCTTTTCACGCAGAAAGTGCGCATGTAGGAGCAAGTTGGCCTTAATGATAGCAGGGTGGTTGAACTTGGGCTTGGCCATCATTTCCATCTGCTTGAACTTCTTCGACAACGCATTCAGCTCCACCTCGTCCGTTGAGTGTCGCGGAATCTCGCGAAATTCAGCCGAGCCTGCCAAAATCTCCGGCAACGTCCGCGGATGCGAGTGCTGCGACATGGCAAAGTTGTAAAAGCCGTACGTATCGTACATGATCATGCTGTCTCCATACTTCTTCGAGTGCGAGTACCATAAAGCGACGCAGCTCGGGATTGCAACGACGAGAATAATCAGATATAGAAAAAGCACTAGATTGTGGTTAGCAGGGTCCAGCAAAAAGGTAGGAAGGCCAATAGATAGCTGCATGGCCTGACGTCCGTCCGGGTTGCCAAACTTTTCATAATTTGCCTTGGCCACCTCATCCGTAAGTGCTTCGTAGGCCTTAGCTACGAGCATGAACTTTTGCTCAGCCACAGCATCGCCGTGATTCTTATCCGGATGGTAAAGGAGACTCATTTTACGATAGGCACGTTTAATCTCACGCTCTGTGACGCCTGTGGAGATGCCGAGGATAGCAAACGGGTCGAATGATTTGATCTCCGAGTCGTCCTTAAGTAGCATCGACATACGTACGAGTCCGTACCAGACGGCGGCAAGCACTAGCAGATTAAGTACGAAGGGAAGCGAGAAAACATTGCGAAAGGCCGTCTTTTCAGCCTGTAGTTGCTTGAGCTTTCGCAATTCACGGTCACAGCGCACGTGACTCTTGTCGAGAAGTCGATCCTTCAAGAAAACGCCATAGAAAATACGACGTAGCGATAAGAAAGTCACGGGCACGACATACAGAGCGCAGAGTGATACGGAGAAGTAGTAGAAAGCTGAATTATCGTACTCCAACATAGTAGCGGAAAGGGCGACGATAAGCAAATGGTTTGATGGACAAGGACCGACAGTGAGGCTGGCGACACGTGGAGCTACGGAACCCAAACTTACCAGAGACGAAAACCCTAAAGATGCAATTAGACAACGCAATTGGATAAAAGGAATTGCAGGTTGAGAGAGGGAGAAACCCAAAATTAAGGTAGCTATATTACTATTTTGGGGCGTATACGCTCTAAGTTTTTTTATGGTATAAAGACTGCGTTCGATACGTCTTTTTTTTTACTTGTTTTCGCTATACTGTCATTTGCTAATCATCATGTCAGCTGTGACATGGTGCTCCTCGTGGTCCATCTCGACGAATGTCAATGTCCACGTACAGCTCCTGAACGAGAGCGTGGCGACTCTCTCGTCGCTGCCATTGCATTTAACTCGACCAGAAGGCGATGCCTCTGTCCCGTGCCAATTGTCGCTCCTCTGGGCGCAACAGCCTCTGCGCTGCACTCAGCTCCAGCTTGAGGTGCAATGCTCTGCTCGTCATGTGGAAGTCTACGCAGAAGGCACGAGGCACAACCTGCTGGGTGAGATGGAGAAGGGAGAAGTGTATTTGGGCACGTTCCGAGGCACGAAAAAGAGCTCCGAACCGCAGCTATTTGCCATGTCACCAAGCTTTATGAGCAATAAAGACTGCGACGTGCTCAAAAGTTTGCAAACTTTGCGAATCAAATTTGTGTCGTTAATGGGGGATAAAAGTGTACTGAATTTGCAAGAATTTCGATGCATCTTCAATCCTATGGAACCAGTGGATACAAGGTGAGGGTTTTGGGTAGATTTGAAGAGATGGTAGATATTAGGATTTGACAGTGCTGATGTTAATTCAGTACGGCGGGACTGACAGGTAAGATAGCTGGACTAGATCTCAAGGGAGTATCAGGTGGTGCTCTGGACATGCAGATGCTCCTGAAAGGTTTTCAGCAAACAATGGAGAGAGAAATGGAAACGAAGATTACACGAGTCATGGACGCAAAGATTTCAGCGCTGGTTCAACGGTTGGCATTGTCGGAGCAGGCACTTTTGCATTTGCACAAGAAGATGGATACGAAAGATGCCCACGTTCAGGGTAGTCTGGACGAGATGAAACAGAAGTTTTGGCAATTGGAAGATCAGCTGAGTCAATTCAGCGTCGCAAAAGAAGTAGAGCGGGAGAAAAAGGACGATCCTGATTATGCGAGAACAATCGCGGCGAAGCGGCGAATAGTCAGCGATCAAGGAGGTACTGACACTAAAAGATCGCAATAGACAACTGAGTAACAGATAGTTTTGAATGTTTTTTTATTGAACTCTTAGTTCCACCATCTCATGGAAAGCAGGCAACAATAGCGTTAGGTGTAAGAGAACTTCAAATACTTGTCAAACGACTAGAGTGATACCGTAAAACATTATGCCTGCCGCACAGTTAGCCAAGCAATCGATGCTCATCACAACCAAAAGGCAATTATATTAGCCGTGGAAAGGTAAACTCTGCTTTGAATGTGGCCGCCGACAAGCTATTGCAAAAAGTACGCAGCAAACACCTTCGAATCTCTAAGGCTTCGTACGAATCGCACTTTAGACCTTTTCCACTTTTCATGGTTTCCAATCCGTTGCACTCCCCCCTATAGAACAAATTATATTTACACAATTTGTATAAATCGCCAACGGAAAGAACGAGGGACAGCAAGCCGTCTAAGACGCGCCGCTTACGACTTCCCTGCGTGTATTCCTTTGAGCTACATGACATCACACGACGCTCACATGGCCACAAAACGTGGAAGTAATGGTGGTCATCTGCAAAGACACCCACACAACAAAGCACAAAGCGTACGCGTCGCGATAGTTAGCCGCTGTAACGGGCTCAACGTTACACGTACCCGTTAAGTATGCGATACTTAACGGGCAGGTCTTAAAAGGTACCTAAGTACTTAAGACCTGTCGCTCGGGTGAGACACACCATGTGTCACACCCTTGCGTATGTGATATACACTAGGTGTATTCACATTGATGGGGATGACGCCCAGCTGGGACTAGGCGTCATCAAATGACGTCAGTCAGTTACGTCATTGAGCGAGCTTAAATATATTTAAGCTCGCACGTTGGGATGCGCATCTATAGAGATGGCACCCATCATTACATATTAACCAATCAGTAGTTAGATTTATATTTAGTTAAAATCTATTAAATATAAATCAGTCTTGAATTTGCTAAACACCGAAGCACCACGCACGAGAAGCTGAAGAAGCTTCTGCGTGACGTCGGTGCCTTCTTGTTTTAGAAGTTCGTTGCACTCTCGCTTAAGCGAGAGGCAACTGGTGGTACGACTGCTTAAGCAGTCGACCAACCTCCCAACCACCCTCGCACGCGAAGGTAAGACGGTATAACCGCTTCCTCGCTTGTGCATAAGGTGTGTGCTCGTAGTACTAGGCAACTTCGTAGAAGTGCCCGTCTACACTTGGTAGCACTAGTAGTCCTTCCCACAACCCGTCTCTCTGAGCGTGCGTGTGGTTGACATGGTCCTTAATATGGACTGGAGTGACTTCCCTCACCTCTCCCAACATCATAGGGAGTTGGCAGAGCATATGACGCAGGGACTTGGTGAACAAGCCCTGGTCAATTTCTTGCATTGTCCTCCTGAGCAACATGTTGCTCAGTTGGAGCAATTCGATGCGTTTGTGCTCGGACAGCGTAGAAACGCGTCCGAGGTAAACAGCCAAGCCACCGCTGAGTCCATCACTAAGACTCAGGATGAGCTTAGGCTTGAGCAGGCACGTAATGAGGCGCTCAACAGAACTGTTGAGACGCTCTCTGCCCGGCCTGCTCAACCGAGGCCCATTCGGATGGACCCTCCGAAGTTCGATGGAACTAGCCCTCACACGATTGTCACTGGCTATTAGCAGTGGAGCAATGTGGAGTGGCGCAGCTCATCGAAGACGACACCAGAATGGTGTCGTATGCCATGTCCAACTTGCGTGGCAAAGCGTCAGAGTGGCCATACTCTGCGCTGATGGCTAATGCTGATGCGTTTCCATCATGGGCGACCTTTAAAACAAAGATTCGCGCCATGTATCAGCCGCCTAAAAACGAAGTGTTGCTTATGGCGCGCTTCTTTGGAGCACGACAGGTGAAACGCTCTCTGCAAGAATTTGTGCAGGAGATGCGTTCGCTGTCGGCGTCCATCAATGGGAACCGATACCAGAGCGTATCAAGGTAGCCACGTTCATGAATGGACTTAGGCATGGCCCATCGCGTCAGGCCCTTTTTAGAAAGGTGCAAGCGACGATGGAAGAGGCAATTGACATTGCCTTAGTTGAGGAGCAATCCTACAACAGCGCCTCGGCGACAGCCTATTACAGGCCGTCGTCCGAGAAGTCTGATGCCTCTCCTATGGAGTTAGGCAATGCAGATGTGATCTGCTACAAGTGCGGCAAGCGAGGCCATATGATGGCTCGCTGCTATGCCAAGGTAGCTACTGGTACTAAGGCAGCCTGCAAAAGGTCTCCCAACCCGAAGGGAGGTGCGAAAAACCAGCGTGCACGACGCACGGGTTCAGCACCTGCCCAAGATGGGTCGGGAAATGCGGGAGCGCAGTAGGGGTGGGATGCCCTACTGTCGCGGACTCTGAAGCTACCCCTAAGTTCAGAGTGATCGAACAAATGGGTAGCATAGCCCCTGAGGTTCCAAAAGGTCGGACCTCAACCCTTTTGGTCTATAGCGCTCGAGTACGAGGCGATGACCAAGTGATGACCCTTCTCGTGGATTCGGGTGCATCACAAAACTTTGTGAAACTCGCGGCTCTGAAAAAGAGACCGGCGAGTTATGAGTCGCTTTGCCAGGATGGCAAGCGAAAAGAGGTGATCGTTCGTTTAGCGAACGGCGCGCTCGTCAAATCGGAGGGAGTTCAAGTTGAACTCGCCTTCAGTTTCAGTGACTTCTCCTGTAAAGAGAAGTTCACAGTGCTAGGTATGGAGAGTCCGTATGACCTCATCCTAGGCATGCCTTGGTTGGCTAAACACCAACCATGGATAGACTGGCGTACACGCACAGTCGCTAGCTCTACGCAAGACACCGGAAAGGATGTGCTCTTTCGAGAGGCTTATGTGACTGATGCTGTGTCCAACACACGATGACGGTATGTCAAGTGACACCAAGAACTACCAAGCTCGAAAGGAGTGGTGTAGTTGGAAGTGCACTGGCGGAAAGCCAGGTGATACATATGCCTACCCAGCTCGAGGAGACTGGTGTAGTGAATGGGGCGATGACAGGTATTCATGCGTCCAATGAAACTGCTCAGAGCCGATAGCCTGTGGCAGTTGATAATAAGCTGACAGGAATTCAAGCGCCACAAGAACCGGCACAGAGCCAAGAGCCTGGTGCGGTTGGAAGGAGTGCTTTAGCTGAGATAGCAACGACACCTTCTTCCAGGTCAAAGGTCGTGGTGACTCGAGCAACGAGAACCAGTCGTATTAAGACGATCAAGGGCACGTCGAAACGAGTGACCCTTGGATCAGTCTCGGTCCAAGAGGACGGACCTACGAACGAGTTGTTCGAGGCCGTCGAAGACAAAATGCCGGAGGCATCCTCAGTTGAGGTGCTCCAACTTGTTTTGGCATCTGCCGAGGAGATAGTAAATCTCTCGGAGATGACGTGGGATCTGTTCCTGTCCGAACTAAAGGAAGGAAATATCCACGAGATAGTCGCACCAGTTCCAGAAGAGAACGTGGTGGATTGTTGCTCTTCATCCACAATGGATGAGAGCGTCTTGGAGACCGACAAACAGAAACGGTTCGCTGCTCAAGGCTGGGATGCCTTGAAGGACAGCCCGTTCTATGATGTTCTGTGGAAACACCGTGATGTGTTTCCAGCAGAAGTGCCGAGCCGCCTACCGGCCGATAGGGGCATCAGGCACGAAATTGACCTGGATCCTGGATCCTGGCACCAAGTATTGTGTGACCAGGCAATGGCCGTTGCCGAAGGAACAAGTCGATTACATCGATGAGTTCTTCGACAAGCGAGCTAAGGCGGGACATGTACGTGAGAGCAAGTCGCCTCACTGCAGCCCGACCTTCTGTGTGCGTAAAGCAACAGGTGGATGGCGCGTGGTTCATGCTTATAATAAGCTGAACACGGCCACCATTCCAGCTCAAACGCCGATCCCGCGGAAAGATGTCTTGTTGAATTCCATGGGAAAGTCAACTATCTTTTCCGCGTTGGATCTGAAGGATGGCTACTATCAGGTTCTCATGAGAGATACCGATGTAGCCAAAACGGCAGTAAGCACCCCAAACGGTATGCTGTGGGAGTGCTTGTGATGTCACAAGGGCTGAAAAATGCTCCGGCAACATTCAACCGAGTAGTGGCTCACGTGATGCGTCAGCACCGTGCCTACGCGCCCCATTACTTTGACGATGTATTCGTGCATAGTAGGGCGGAGGACAGTCTGAGTGCAATAGAGTCGCACAAGCGTCATTTAGACGCTGTGTTGCAGACTCTGGGTGACGCCCAATTATACGTGAACTTGCAAAAGTGCGTAATAGGGGTCCCCGAGATACCTGTACTGGGCTGCATCGTAGGTGCACATGGTGTACGAGCAGACGCAGAAAAGGTAAAGGCTGTAAAGGAATGGCCAGTCCCACGTAATGTGAAGGATCTGCGCCAATTCCTTGGGCTCGCTAATTACTTGCGTAAGTACAGCAAGAATTATGCGGAGCAGACTAAGTATTGTCTGACCTTTTAAAAAAGGATACAGAATGGACTTGGTCTAAGGAGCAAGAAGATGCGTTCACTTCAGTGAAGCAATCTCTTGTAGAGGCACCGGTATTGGCATTGCCAGACGCTGATATGCCCTTTAGCGTCGTCTGCGATGCAAGCAATTTTGCAATCGGCAGCGCGCTCATGCAAAAGGATGACGACGGTGTTGACCGTGTCATTTCTTATCAGTCTCGGCTTTTAAAAGCTGCCGAGCTGAATTACCCTGTGCATGACAAGGAGCTACTTTTAATTAAGTATGCCCTTATGAAGTTTCGGGTGCACCTCTTGGGCACCGAACCTTTTGTGGTTTATACGAATCACGCATCACTGCGGACCGCTATTAATTCACCGCACCTCTCGCCGAGAATGGCAAGATGGCTAACAATCTTCTCTGAATTTAATACCAAAGTTGAATATAAGCCGGGTAAGTCGAATGTCGTGGCTGACGCGTTATCGCTCAGACCAGACTTCGAGGCAAAACACCAGGATAGTGTTTCTCGTGCGAAAGCACAAGTTGAGTCGTCAACATTGGCAGCCATGAAGGCCTACCATGTGACGAGCTCAATGGCCTCCGATATCAAGGAGTGTTACAGGCAGGACGAGCATTCTCGCCTGCTGTTGGATCATTTTGGTGGACGAAAGG